TTGCTGAGACCACAGAAAATAAGAAGAGTGGCATATCTTGACGTCTGTCAAAAGCTCAAGGGCTTTCGGATGACCAGGAGATTTCTTGAAGATTCCTTTATACGTTGCTGTTGTGCTAGGTTTTAAATTCTTCCTCAGGACACTGGCCCACCAATTTGGCCAGCAGAACATCTCTGGAGCTGTTACGGAACTCTGTCAAAATATGCCTTGTGTCCCTGCCTTGCCCAGTGCTCTTCCCCAGGATGACGGCGGGTGGGGCAGCACCTAGGGAAAAACAACAGAAACCGGAAAAAATGTCTTGAGGAGGGTTAAGTCAAAAGAAACCATAAAGGTGTCATTACAGAGCCTACCCAGAGATTTAAAACAATGTCTCAGATAAGGCAGCCTAGGCGAGGCAGATTCTCAGCAGCCCTGAAGCTGGGTAAGCAATGGGAAGGCAGGGAGGGTCTGCCCAGCCTGAAACAAAAAGAGTCTCAGAGAAAGGGCAGGGCAAGGTGGATCCAGGAGGTTGTCCCAGCCAAAAGAAGCCTACTGGAGAAAGAGAAAGATTATCTGGAAGCTGTACTCGCAGAGGCAGGGAAACTAATGGGCAAATATCCAAGGCTGCTTCTCCTTACACAGCAACGTAGTCACGCAAACTTACCCAAGCTGTCTGCAGAGGGGTTAACTTGAGGAACAGAAATAGGCATACGCATCTGCTATTTTCAAACAACTTATCCAACTGCTGTGTAACAGTTTGTTTCAGAAAGCTGTGCTTGCAGTCACTTTAATCCACTTCTGCCACATCCCTCCAGAGGAGTCCAGCGGTTGACAGATGCGCTGACTTGGTTAGGAGCGGAGCCCGGCAGCAGTTATCCCAGGATGGTCTCTGCAAGTGGGGTATGTTGCAGAATTGCACCTCAGGAGGGGCAAAAGCCTGTTCAGCCATGAAGCTTGGCGTAAAGGAAGATTCAGAAGCAGCAGTAGCAGGGCATCTCTCATGAAACCAGAAGTCTGGGAGTCTTCACTTCTTCCTAAAGCCGCCGCATTGAGGCACTCCATTGTTTTCCACCTCTGCCCTTCCCCAGTGTTTTTCCCTTGCATGCCAAGCTCCCAGGTTGTGCAACCAGCTTCCTTTTGCTCATTAATTCACATCAAAAGCATGTTTTCCCAATAGATGTGTCAATTCCCTGCAGTGCTAAACCTTGGCAAGTACTGGGATCATCAAAATTCACAACGATCAAAATGACTGGTTTTGCTGGATTATCTTTGCAGCTCGCAGTGGCAGGCTTTGAACACCTGGTAACGCTCAGTCCCTCCCAGATATCAGATACACATCATGTGTCTGCAGTACAGCCTGGATGCCTAGGCCTAGTCATCAGTGAGGTACCACATCAAAATCAAGTGAACGTTTCAGGCTTATTTTTTTAATAGTTACACGTTTGTAGTTCCTCCTTCTATGGTTTGGGATTCATGGTGCAAAGAAAACATTCTACAAATGACATACGCAAGTTACAGCTGAGAAACATTTCTTTTTGGACAAAAGCGTAAGTGCAGAAATGACGGTGCCGGGAATCACCACGCAGCCCCTATTAGTGCTTGTGAGAGCTTGGCCCCGGTTACTGTCGGCAAGTAACCACACTTACTTATTTGTAAAGACTGTAGAAACCAAGAGCAGCCGTTTCCAAAATAACGGGGATACCAATTTCCTTCCTTGGCTCTGTCTTTCCCACATCCCGGCTACAAGCAGACCCTACTTGCAAAGGGAATGGGAGGCCGCCAGTCAGAAAGTCACAAAAAGGAAGTCGGTTGCTGGAATCTGTTGCAAGAATGCCTTTAGGGAAGGAGAAATCCTGGTCTTGAAAAACAGCCGACAATCCAACACTTTGCTTCTTCCTAGTGCTGATTTTGCCTCTCTTCTATATGCACCTTTACTGCCTTTTCCCTTTTTTCTCCTGTTTTCTTTTCAGCCGAGGGACTTGTTGCCCCATTTCACCCAACCCACCTCCAGCTCCGCTCCCGGCCTGCCTGGGGCCACCTGCGCAGACACTCCTGCCCT